CCCATGTCGTCCTTTTTTTTCTAGTAGCGCCGCTATAACGCAAAAACGCCTTATTGTGGCGTTGTTCGGCACTATAGCGACAATAATCATCGTAATATGTTCGAACGTTCTTCACGCCGGAATAACGCGGAAAATCGGCGCTATTCTCATACTGTTTTAATTCTGAAAATTTCTTTTCAAAGCATATATAAAAACGTATATTCAAACAGGAATTGATATGATTGATCGAAATATTCTGTATGATTCATCGAATGTTAATATTATATTATTGAAGATACTTTTACTCTTGCTACAGTATACTATATAACTCTTTTTTTTTTGCTTCAAAATCAAATGTATTGGTTCTCATATAAAGTAAATAAACGACGCCGTAATCGAGAGATGAAGCGTCAGTCTATTTATCAATTAATTGCTCGACATATTAGCTCTTCGAATGACAACTTGGATGATGGTCACAATGAATACTGCCTACAAGAACAAAATATAAATCAGGAAAAACTTGAATCAACATTTGACAAGAAGAATGATGATAATTATATTTCACCTGCATCACAAAAAGTTTATGTTGAGGATGATAATGAATGGAATGATGATGAGGATGATGACCAATATGAGGATGATTCTCGCTTATTGTACAATGGTTCCTCAATTACTGTTAGCAGTGCTATTCGTCTTATTAGTAAGTTTTATTTAAATATCAATTTAGATAAGCAGAAAATCAATGGTCTTCTTCGTCTGATTAAATCTTTATTGCCAAAACCAAATCTTTTACCTTCTACGTGGAAAACTGTGAACAAAGCACTTCGAAATTTTACACCCAGTTTAACAACTTATCTTTGCACTGATTGTTATAAATCATGCGATATTAATACTAATCGCTTCAAGTTTTGTGTTAATTTAAATTGCAAAACTTCTTTTAGACAACGTCGCAGTTATGAACTTATTGAAATTGTTCGATTTGATATTCGAAGTCAGATACAATCGATTATGTGTCGAAATTTTGATTTTCTAAACAAATCTCATCTTTTTCCACCAAGTGATATTTGTTTTGGTGAATGGTATCAGCAACAATCGAATACAAATGCCAACAAAATTACATTATTAGTTCATACCGATGGTGCTCCTCTCATTCGTTCATCAAAACAATCAATATGGCCATGCTTTGCATCTATCACAGAACTTCCTCCACCAATAAGAGAATTCCAATCAAACATCATTATACTTGCTTTATGGGTATCGAAAATGAAACCAAACGTTAATACATTTTTAGATCAAACAGTAAATGATTTATCACTTTTAATTAAAAATGGAACTTCAATATTTATTGATGATCACGAATATAATATTCAACTTGGTACTCAACTTTTTCTTTCTGATCTACCTGCAAAATCACTCTTTTGTTGCACAACAAGTTTCAATGGATATTCAGCATGCACTTTCTGTTATAGTAGAGGTAAATTGCTGTTCTTTTTACGATTACAACAATATTTTACTTTCTATTGTAGATTAAAGTACTTAAATGACATTAATTTTAACCAGGAAAAACTTCGTAAAATCCTAATATTCATAAATTATTGAGTATTAATCATAGCTTTTTTTGTATCAGATAGATTATAATACAGCTTGATTTTCGATTTTTGTGACAATCGATAACAGCAGTTTCATGTTATATCTTTACTGAATATAGGACAAAATATTTAGGATTGATCATAATAATTTATTTAAATTTCATTATTGAAAAGAATTAATTCTTTCTAATTTTTTAACTTATTTTGTTTGTTTTTTCATTCTAGTTCGTTATTCTTCTATCGTTCTAGGCATATGGAATCCAAAATATAATAAAATGCTTTATCCTTATTCGAACAATGATTATACAGCTCGTACTCATGACGGTTATTTGAAATCTGCTCGAGAAGCTGTTAAAAAATCAAAAGGTCATAAAAAAGTAGCAGTTGATGGTATAAAAGGTCTGTCATATTTATTTGAAATATTTTGTTATCCAGATCAAATTATATATGACTATATGCACCTTGTGTGTCTATGTCATATCCCATCTTTGATAAGCCGATGGTGCTCATGTATTAACAAGTTGTCAATACTAAATATTGACAAAAAACTTCAACGATTACGTACTCCACACAATATAAAAGCTGTTTTTTTTAGAATCGATTAAATTAGCATCTCAATGGAAAGCAAAAATTCACGTTTATTTGTACTATATGTTGGAGTACCAATAATGGCTAATCATTTACCAACACTTCTTTTCTCTCATTTTATTATATATTCATTAGCAATTAAACTCCTACATGCACCTCAATCAAAAGAAGATATATTACTTGGTGAACGTCTTCTCGATTACTATTGTCGAACAGCATCAAATGTCTATGATTCTTCTATTGAAATTTTTTCTTTACATGCACATTTACATCTTGGTCATCAAGTTCGTCTACATGGTGGCTTAGCACATACATCAGCATTTTCTTTTGAGTCAGCCATCCGTTATATCAAAAAAAGTGCTCATGGTAGCACTAATGTTGCTAGTCAAATTGCATATTGGAATAATCTTCGATGTACAACACAAATGAAAAAATTTAATTTAGTAACAAATTCTCTTATGGATGTGAGTGAAGAAAATGGAAATATTTATAACGTGTGACAGTTATAACTATAAATCATTATTTTCTCCCGTCGACAAGAAAAAAGAAAAGCACCTTACTAGTGGAGAACGACAAATGATATTCTCTCTCTCTTTCTTATAATGACTGACACTCTGAATATTCTTTCTCTTTTAAATACAGAATAGACGGCAGATTAAGCTATGATAATTGTTTATGTGTTCATTTTTATTTTTCTTTGTTGAATGATCGACATGTCTTATCGATATATTTTCATTTCTCTGTTCTTATAGAAGATAAATTCAGACGATCCTGCACTTGTCCAATATCTTCCCATGCTACGTCAATTACTAACTTCTATTAATGTAAACAACATTACGTATTTTTATAAACGTTACAAATCTGTATTTATTACATATCATTCATTAATTTATGATCGTCCATTTAGTTGCAATAGTCACACAGTATCTTATGTTGACAATGATAACAACAACGTAACTCATTATGGTAACATAGTTATATTTTTATTAATTAATGATGGAACTTTTGCTCTTATACAAAAATATGTTTCTTGTGAGAAAAAAATGTCAAATAATGTTGAGTTACCCAACGAATTACACAAATTAATAGACACTTATTATCCGCTCGTGTCTTTTTCAAACAATTTCTTCATAATTCCAGTGACTAATATTCGTCACAAATGTATTTGTGTTCCGATTTTTGATGCATTCTGTATATCAGAAATAAGAATCGATTATGAACACGATTGACTATATTCAACGATCTTCGTAATCATTTAGTATTCAAGTCTCTAACCTTCATCAACTTATAGGTACTTATTCATCACACATATATTGACTTTTGTTTCAGATAATAATAATGAATGAAAGAAATACATCTACTAGAAGTTGTACATTAAATCGTAGAGCAGTGGAACGTTCTGAAGTGTATCATGTAGTTATTTTCCCATGTGATAATTCATTTTCTGTTGTTAAATCAAAACAATGTTCACCAGCTGAGCAAGATGGTTTTGTTTTTGTACAATCTGGCCATAAAAAATATATGGCATTTATTTTTGAGACAGGTAAAATGGAAATTGACCATCGAAATATAACTAAGTTATTCTTCAATTTAGGCAACTTTGAGATATGTAGTAAAGCTGCTGATCGTCTTGTGCAAAAACAACACGAAGACATCGAAAGCGATTACGAACGAAGAAACGAAAATACACAATCAAAAGACATCACTTCAAATACATCAGGTACGTGCTATTTTTTATACTAAAAGTTTACTTTATATTTTGTTAGAAAAACCAACATATACTACTCTAAAGGATGTACCGTTCTCTATTGACGTACCTGTTAATGTTATTCACAATGATTCACCTCGTCAAACTGTTTCAAATTTAAGTAAGTGTAAATAAGAAATTTTGACTTTTGTTTAAATTTTCGAATTATCCACTAGACACAGTACAGATGAGAGAAATGATAAATTTTAGTCATTTCATTCGTGAGAAATAATTTTCGAGTTCCTCTTAAATTTTTTAGATATGATTAACGGAATGACTCCAACTCGAGCAAAGAATGGTAGTGGAAGTACAATAATAAATAAGGGTTCGTTCTATGTTTTCATAAAAATATTAACTTTTCTTTAAAATTAAGGATGGCAACGAACACGACATGAAAGTTGTCCAAAAGTTACTACAAATCCAAACGCAACTGATATAACAGGCAAATCCTTGTTTTTTATTGAAATTCTTTTTTTTATGCATTTACTAATATTTAGCAACAACAACCACCACTGCGACCTCTATTAATTCGAATAACTCGTCTTCATCACCGTCAATTAGAGAAACAAGTTTAGTTACCAAAAAAAAATCGTCAACAGTGAATTCATCATCAAATTTTAATTGTCATACAAGACCTACGATTGACTCATCACCTTCTCCACCACAAAACAAAAAGAAAAAAAAATCAAAGAAAATTCAAGAAGATAATATATCTTCCTCAGATATTGAATCCGATAACGAAAATTTAATACGAACAAATGAAATAATTAAAACTCCTACATTCAATGGTCGACGTATTACTACTTTAACTACAACAGATTCTATAATCAACGTTCCAAGCAGCGTAGAATCGTATCTCAAACAAATGGAGCAGAAGTATTTTATTCCATTACAGCTTTCTCATGAACGAATTGAGAAAATGATAAAAACATTATACAATAATCAATTGAAGATCCAAAAGGTATTGAACAAGAGACAGGTATGGTTTAAAAACGGCAATATTTTGCTTCAACAATTATTTTCATAAAAGTTTGCTAACCTTTTAAACAAGATTATTGTTTATCGGAATCCTTCATAGGTATCTATTGCACTAGATGAACCAGGTGCTGATTCCAATGATGATGTAAATTTTCCATCTAGTTTGGTGAGTACAATATTGTACAATATTTAATTTTGCTTTCATCTTTTTTTTTTTTATTAATAGATATTTACATCCACTGATGGTATGTCAAGTACTGATTTAATGAAAATTCCAGCCACTAGAGACAAAGCTAATCTTTATGTTACAAATCTCGTTGAAATACCTTATACTATGGATGAACTAGTGGCATTAAAACCAGAAGAAACACATAACGACTATCGATATCAATTGATACGAGGTTAATATTTCAATTATTCTGTATGATATAACTCTATTTCTTTTTTATTTTAGAATCCGTTCGTTGTAAGTTTAAATTAACAAATGATCAATTAGATCAATTATTTAATGATTGGCTTCGTGAAGTTTTTCTTGCAAAACGAAGAGTAGCAGTGAGAAAGCTTAAAATGTCGATGAACAATGAATAGTATTCTTCAATTAATACTGTTCTTAGAACTCGTTTTTTTTATGTATCTGAAATGATATTTGTACTACAAACTGTTTTTTTTCTTATTGTATTTATTGTGAAATGGTTAATGACGTTAAAGTCATTATTTATTTTTGTTATAATACATATATATATATATGATAAAATAAATTTGATGCTGCGAAAGTCAGCAGATCTCAATTTCAGAGCTTTTATAATATCAGATATTGATAAAAGTAAGCATGTATGGAAACAACAAAACACACTAAATGTTATGTCACATAGTGCGTAATATTAATTGATGTTGTCGTTATATCGCACTATAACGGCCATAACGAACTAGAAAAAGGGGTCAGAATGCGATCGCTATAACGACGTTATAACGGCGCTATTTTACCGCTATCGGCGACATGGG